AGAATATTAATAATTTACATTGCATTGTACACAGTATAATGAACTTAATGTTAATTTCATAATTGGTAGATCAATGTTCATAACGTACAAATTAGGTACGATATGGTAGCTGCGAGAATTGACAAGACTGCGAGAGAATTCTTCGGGAGACGCGACTACGTGATGTTGAAATAACATATCGGTACATGCATCTTCTTACGCCTACAGCCATTCATCATTAAGATTCATTTTTGCAAAAATGTAATTTTAAATTGGTAAAAAGAAATATCATCTATTAATGTAAATGTCATAAAATACAAAAAGTTATTAGCGGTAGACCTCGTATATGTCCATCGACGCAAGGTCCATTTTTGAAAAAATGATATTTTGAACTGGCGTTTTAGTTCAGTAAGACAGATATTATCAATGTTTAGTATTTAATGAAAATTTAGTAGCAGTAGAGCGCTTTGTGAAAGAGTTCGTCCAGGAAGTACTGCCACCTTACCAATTTCTGCCGCTAAGCAGTATTGTGAGCATTACTGCATTCCAGTTTGAAGGGTAAGTGCTGGTGAATTTGCAAATGGGATTTGTCAACTTGTTTCTCAGGGTGACTGACGAGCACAGCGGCAATGCCCCTCAGATCTTTTGCGATTGAAAGATCTGATCTGATTGAAGATCAGGGGCACTGCAACTGCCATGAACAGGTATGTCGCTTACCACCAGGCGCACGACTTTGTCGTCCCGTCACAACAAGAGAAAACAACAAATAACACTAATGAGCGGGCCTAACGTTAAAGCGGTTCAAATTATGCTAAAGAATCTCTAACAGAAACGTTAAGTCTATCTACCTACACCCTAACTTTTGTACCACTGTTGCAAAACATCTAAATGTTAAGTTTTGAAGGGTAGGGATGCTGGTGAAATTACAGGCACATGGGTCTTGTCAACTTATGTATTAGGGTGACGGGCGCATTGGCAGTTCCCCTCAGGTCTTCGTCTTTTAAAGCCCTGTGTGGCACAGCAACTGTTATGGACTGGCGTGTCGCTTACAACTAACTAATAAATATCATTAATTAATGTAAACACAACTTGTTTATCTCGTCACTTGGAAGTATAAAATAAGCTCTATGTTAATAAAGTAATAATAGTATTCGAAAGTAAAAACAACAATTTTACTTGCACTTTCCATATTTTCAGTAGCTGCCTTTTCAAACTGTATTTCATGTAATAGAAAATAGGTGAGACAAAATTTCTCTTTCCATTTCCAAATTATGAAAATGAAATTTCAAGAAGGTTTCTCGTTCACAAGAATAAATAAATAAATTTTAAGTACTGTCAAATGCTCTATTCTATAGCTCGAAGCTATATTAGATTGTATTGTTTTTCAACACGTGACCTTATTGAATACGAATGAAAACACGTGTTTACTATTAATAAAACGGGTCATTTAATGGGTCAATTAATAGTATATATAGTATAATGTTAGATTCAAAGAACCAAAACGCTCATAGAGCTAATAAAACGTTTTACGTTGTGGTCTCTTTAAAATATCCATAACACGTCATGGCACTTATAATAAAATATTAATAATGAAAATGTGGTTTGCGTTAACTTAAAAAGACCACAATACGAAATTCATATGATAGCTCTCTTGATATCTGATCATAACGCGTTGTGATTTCTGTAAAATATCCACAACGAAAGTCATCACGCTAGCACATAGGTATTGTTGACTACAACACGTTATGGATATTTTCAACAGACCACAACGGGTATTGGAGCGTTTTCATTCTTTGAACCTTAACATATACGTTCACATGTATAGTAGTATATATAGTTTTATGACTGGCCACTGGGGACGTCCCAGCGTAGTCGTCAATGATTGTTTTCTACCTATTGAAGTAAAATAAGTGTTGGGTGTAAGTTGTGACAGACCCACATTTAGAAAAAAAAGTGAACGTGTCAAAGCAAAAGTGCACTCACGCAATAATTTTCTGCAGCGTCTCACCACCACCTAGTGGAGAGCTTCCTCCCAGGTCATACGAACTACTGGGTTGTCATTTTCCTTGTGTGCTTACGAACAGTTGCAGTAGAGTTCCCTGTGAAAGAGTTCGTCCAGTGAAGTACTGCCACCTTACCTATTTCGGCCGCCAAGCAGTAATGTGAGCATCACTGCGTTCCAGTTTCGAAGAGTAAGCGCCCAGTTACACGACGCAAAAGTTTTCGTGCGGGCGCTGCGTGGTAACCTCTCAGTTACCATGCTTTCACGTATATTAATGGAGAATCTGAATTCTATTTACTAAACAACAACATTTAAATTCCTCGAAATAATACAACCGCGCGGTCGTCGCGCGTTTTCCAAAGAGTAGTTAGCCTGTCAATTAAGTTAAAACTTAAAAGCTAAATAAATAAATAGAGCATATTTTGCCATGACAGTTCGATCTCTGAACACGTGCACGCGGTCGCTGCGTGGCGGCCACACGATCTCCGCGCGGCAGCAGCGCGGCAGCCGCGCGGCGTGTGCGCGATGAAATTCGTGTCGAATAAACGCGCCCTATGGGTGCTCGTGATATTTACAAGGCACATTGGACTTGTCTTATTAAGTCTCAGTGTGTCGGGCGCTGTGGCAGTGGCAGTGCCCCTCAGATCTTTGTGATTTAAAGCTCTGAGTGGTACAACTGTTATGGACAGGCCTGTCGCTTACCACCAGGCGTACGATTTGTTCCTTCCGCCACTTGGTATTATAAAAAAAAGAATTTGTTTTATCATTCTATCCATGCAAAGTTAGAGACAGCAATAAATGAGACCTACCGGATCATTACTGGTTGTCGTAAGTCAACCCCGGTAAGGTTGCTGTATCCCCTACCTGGCATAACTCCTATAGACATCCTCAGCACTGTAGCAGGCTCTTGCGTAAGATCCAAAATATCTATTGACACCTGGCACCCTATGCATGATCATTTCACAATGCAAAAGAAACTGAATAGCCGGAAAAGCTTCGTACAAATGTGTCGATCCTCTGCGCATTGAATCGGCTGAGGTAAAGAGTTCCGCCTTCTGAGAGTCTCCTGGACGCAAATAGCTTAAATAGGTAGGCTTCTAACTCAGGTTGACCGGAGTAAGGACAATTTGTTTATCTGGGGATTTTCGAATGTTCTACTTTTCAATGTTTTAACCGGTACGAGTCAAACTGCGAGTCAGATCACACCTGGTGCCCTGCGTGCCTTCACACCTGATCGCTTGAGGATTTAACGGCGGCTACTAGCGCGGTCGGCGAGACTAAGTTCTGAATCACAATAGTATAGTATGTCATTCAGACGATAGGAAAAAGATAGGCAATTATATAGACTTCACTGGAAGAAGTAATATTTTGTGTACAAATATTTTACGCGATCGTTAGTATCACTGTAAACTCATGGAAAGTATGCGGATTAGGAAGGGAAGGGTGGGCCTACACTACCAGTATGGAGTTTAGTACACAATAATTTATTATAATTCAACTTCAAAGAAATTGAAAACTAGCGTATTTTTTTTTCTTTCACACACTCATATCCCCGCACTAAGGAATCCCTGTATCGCGGGTGCCATGGACACACACACACGTAGACAACCACAAATTACACCCAAACTCACGATAGAAATAAGCGTAAGCCATACAAATATTTCTTCCGGCCCGGGAATCGAACACGGGGCCTCTGCGTGGCAGTCCAGCATGGTAACCGTTCGGCCACGGTGGCAGTATTTCAGATTGTATTATGACAGTTTATTTATCTTATTGTTTTTTTCATACCTTGCTTTGGTATTTGTTTTCTGTTTCTATATTTTTGTTTTGTGGCATTGCAATAAATGCGTTTTATTCTATTTTAGCATAGGCAAAACTTAATTTAGTTTATCGGGTTCGGATAACGTACTTGTGAATAGTTGGGCACACTGAACGATATATCGTAGATAGCAGTTGTGAAGACAGTGGTATGATGAGGGCACAGGTTTATGAACTTAGATGTACGTAATACTTACATAGAATACAAATTATAAATAGGTAGTTGTTTAGGTACCATAGTCAAATTAGAAACCCTTATAATTTCGCTGCATCTATCTGTTTCACAGTTGTTTTATTCGCTTGTTTATGCAACCAGTATCATGAAATCTGTAGTAATATTGATGACCCAAACAAAAATTAAAAATAAAACCCAAATAATACTATTTTTTCCACATATGATGAAAGGGAAAGTAGCAGTAGAGCTCCTTGTGAAAGACTTCATACAGGGAAGTACTGTCACCTTACCTATTTCTCCCGACAAGTGGTAGAAATGAGCACTACTGCGTTCCAGTTTAAAGGGTAAGGATGCTGGTGAATTTGCACATGGGATTTGTCAACTTATGCCTCAGGGTGACTGACGAGCGCAGCGGCAATGCCCCTTTCAATCTTTCAATCGCAAAGATCTGAGGGGCACTGCAACTGCCATGAACCTTACGCTTAAGCTTATCACCAGGCGCACGACTTTGTCGTCCCGTCACAACACCAACAAGAGAACACAACAAATAACACTAATGAGCGGGCCTAACGTTAAAGCGGTTCAAATTATGCTAAAGTATCTCTAACAGAAACGTTAAGTCTTGAGGTATTACTTGTCAAAGTTGTTTTAAGGCAGATGCGCTAACCGTGCAACCAAAAAAAACGTTTGCAACCGTACCACGGTTGCAAACGGTTGCAAAACTTCTAAATATTAAGTCAGATATATATGTATGTATACCTCTTAATCTTTGCAGTAAATACTGCTTCATACGTTGCAAAACCACTGATATAAATAATATTCACCTAACTCTGACAACCATATCGTATGTATGTTTATTTATGATGAATGCGAGCTAAAACTGGTAAAGTTCGGTGTATATTAATATACCAAAAGTAGATATCTACACAAAGATGTATGGATACATATCTATTAAATATATGTAAATATTGTGTACATGGGAAATCACCCATATATACGAGAAGAAAACTATGTTTCGTTAGTCCTCTTGCATCTGTCCGTGAGTACAGACGCGCTCGCGAAAACTATGAATTAATCAAATACGCGAAATATTCGCGCTAAAAAAACATAAGTGCCTTAATACTGTTAAAAAAATATGTGATAGTAATTTTAGGAATAATATAGATAGAGCTGTGATATTGTACTTTTTTACATTTTAGTTTATCAAATTAATTAGTGATAAAAATGGGTGTTCCAACAGAGTGAGTATTGAAATTTAATATTTAAATTTTCATACTTGAAATGGCGTTACTTTACAAATGTTCATTAGATATGAAGCTGGTATTATCTTAAAACTTAGGTACTTTATTATTTATTTATCAATTTATTAGAATAAAATAAATTATTTTTGGTCAAGAACATGCCAACTAAATAAATATGACTCGAAGTATTACAATTTAGTATACATCCAGAAATACAGTCATGATCAAAGTTTAAATATTGTAAATATGTCATTGCCCTTTGGTTGCACAAAGAAAAGCTAAACAAGAATTGACCGAGAAATGGAAACCATTAACTGATTGATTTATGAACAACGATTAGCATTTGTTAATTAATCAACGTAGTTACCAATTTAAAGTTCATATTAAACCAAAACATTAAATACATTGTTATATGTTGTTAATTATATGAACTCATTGTTTACACTTAAGCTAAATAAGGCCAATCATAATTACGGGAGTATAAGTTGCATTATTGAGTATTATAAGATAGCATAAAAATAAAATAATGACTGAAAAACAATATCAAATTGGTGTAAAATTATAATATAATTGTGCTGTTATAGAAATTCGTCGTAGTATAATGGTTTGACCTACCGCCTCTCAAGCAGAGGCCGTGGGTACTGGCTCGCACCTCTGAGTTTCTCAGAATTTATGTGCAAAATTTAATTTTAATTTTACCATGAGCTTTTTGGTGAAGGAAGAGATCGTGATGAAACGTGCACGTCGAAGAAGGTTAACAACGCATGGAAAACGTGTAAAGTCCCCAACACGCATTGGGACAGAGTGGAGGTCTATGGCCAAAACACTCGTCTGAGAAGAGCCTCGTGCCCAGTAATGAGACGTACTGGGTTGATGGTGATGGTAGAAACAAAGAAAATAAATTATTTAGCGCCTGAGCTCGCTTTATGTTATCCAGAGAATCTAAATAACGCGTGAATATTACCAAGTCTTAGTTAAACTAACCTAAACACAACTACATTAGAATAGAATAGAATTATGTATTTCAGACTTTTATATAGATTTATATAAGATTTCATGATTCATAGTAATGTTAGTAATACAGTAAATTTTTCTTACGTGCTATGGTTAGTACAATATAAAATTAACTTAACTTAATGCTAGAGAAATGCCACGGCTAACCACTACCCTGCGCAAGTGTAGTTGTCCATCCTGTTGGCAACAACGGCTAGGGTATGTATATGACATAGGATATGGATATGTATATGTGTATGAGATTAAAGTCAACTTTAATGTAACACATTTTTCCATTTAAATTGTGACACGACGTACGTAAACTTAGAAAAAATACTATACATTTATGCATCCAATTCATATGTATGTTAAAGAAATACGTCTTGATAAAGCTTACGTTTGCGTATTTGTAAATGTTCAGAAACATTTCTTATTATTTACTTTGTAATGTTTAAAATTTTATTGTATACCGTGGCAGTGGTCTTGGTACTCTCCCCGGAGCGAAACTTTTTTCATCGCAAATACTTAAACAAGCGGGTAACAATTTAAATTATTTCCAATTATACTTAGAGCACCAATTAGCATTTTCACAGCAAAACAATATACTCTTTGTATTGCAATGAGAGTGATTTAATTTAATTCATGTTCGTAGTTCGAAAAGAATTCCGCACATTGAAATATAAGTAGCCCTATTCACGTTTCTGTTTTGATGGCTTGTAATTCCATGTTAAACACGAAATTTACACTGAACATCTTTATTGTTTACATTCTTTACTTACTTACGTGGCCTTAGATATACTAACATAAATCCAAAATTTAACTAAAATTTATTACGATGAATAATTGAGCAAGTCACCCTAGGTGATTTAATAAGTCTACTTGTTACTCAATACTTCCGAGAGAAGAATGTGCTAAATATTCTTATGTCTCTAAAATGACGCCAAATTCTTTTATTAATATACACATACATCATGCGATTTTCCAAGATCCGAAGGTCTTGTGACATCGACGTCCAAGTGCAGCAGTCACTACCGAATTACTTTGCTGCTCTGCCAAACATTCCGTGACGAACTATGAGTTATACTGAATAGATAAAATACACCCTCTAAACCATAGCATTTTTTTTTATTCAAACATTTTCATTCAAGGCGCATAATAAAGTGATAATGATGATTTTCCGTCTTCAAATACCAGAAATATAATAATATTTTATTATTAATATTAAAGAATTTGCTAAGGTCATCGTGGGAAAAGTAGCAATGTATGAAGATGACTTTTATCACTCGTTTAAGGCTAATTTTCTCCATCTAATTTCGGTGGTATTTTTTGTTATTTAAATTCTAGAGTATTATTATGAAGTATTATTTAATATTCGAGTGAAGTATCGTAATATTATTTAATATTTCACGATAATATCGAGTCGATAACTTGAATACTTAAGTAATAAAAATTGCCACCGAAATTATTAAAGGAAGAGAAAACTAATCTGAAAATTAACCTCAACGACCTTAGAGTTTTAGGGAATGGTCTAAATAATAATATTTCACATGTACTACAATGCATCATTTCTGAAACCGTACTTTCTGCGTTTCACTTTAATATTTTACTATTTTTTATTCTCTCATCACATGTATTGTAACCAGGATCATCTCCTCTAATTACTCGCGTTGCCATACCGGGGGATCTTGTCACTGATGAAGCTGGCCACATAATATGCTCTTTGTTTCGTGACGTAAAGAAGTAAAATTTCAAATAAATTTCAGTTCGTAGATCTTACGTAGATCTGCAATTCAAATTAAGTTTTTTCCTCTTAAACAATAAGGACAATAATATCTGTCTTGGAACATGCCCAAAGTTGGTCTTTGTCTTAGTGAAAACGAAGTCCCAAGGTGAAGGTAAATTGGCAGACTTCCAAGGATACATTGCATCTGAATTCAGCTGGTGAACGGTCGACGACCTTTCTAAAACGTCTTGTCCAAAAGTATCATAAGATTGTTGAGTTTTGACTTATATGCCTTGTATTAAATTCAGACTATTGATCGATTCCTGACTATAGCATCAATATTTAGCATTAGATGTATCTTTTGTTTCACAGCTATGTTAATAAAACTAAATTGATTTAGACGTATAAACTAGATATAACAAGAAAATAAGATATTTCTAAAGTACGAGCCCAAATTCCTTTGATTTTCGTAATCACGCGATCACGGCGTGCGTACCTGATTGTATTTGTAACATAAGTACCTTTCAAAATATAATGGTTTGGCAGCAATGGCACCGCGTATAACTTTAGTTATCGTGACAGTTCTAAATTATAAACAAAGCTTCTGGTAATATCTATTTATACCGAGGAACACAATAGAGATCAAATGGATACAAGTTCACGAATACTTCGATTTTTTCCCAGTATGTAGATTTGGAGTTCGTCCAGGGAAGTACTGCCACCTTACCTATTTCTACCGCCAAGCAGTAATGTGACTATTACTGCGTTCGGGTTTTGAAGGATAAGGGTACTGGTCACATAGGACTTGTCAACTTATGTTTCAAGGCGACAGGCGCTGTGGCAGTGCACCTCAGATCTTTGCGATTTAATGCTCTAAGTGGCACTGCAACTGTTATAGGCAGGCGTGTAGGTCACCATCAGGCGCACGACTTGTTCGTCTCGTCCCCTGTTCCCGTGTTCAGACACCTGAAGACACTGCTGATATTTTTTTGCCCGAATTCCTTATCTACAGATAGAAGCTACAATCGGTACTACTTTTAGCTTTACACTTTACACTTCCCGTTATAAACAAGCATATTTTACTGTTGATTTAAACTCGTACGTTCTGCTTTAGCAAAACATTGATTTTTATATCTTTTTACTTCTAAGAATCGAAGAGAAATCTTTAATTTGGCGTAGAAAATTTGGGCGAAGTCTCGCTTTCATTTTCTTTGCTTACCTATTATAATTTATTAATGAATATTGTCAGTCAGTATACGGAAAGGATCTTGCATTGAAATGACATAAAATGGCATGAGCATTGTTGCATGATACAACAACAAATGTACTATTTTTAAATTTGATAAGTGAGCGCAAACAAAACATAATTATCAGAACGGCGGCGGTGTCAGTAGAACGGTCCGTAACCAGTGACGATTTTATTTTATGTCCGCACAGGGAATTCTGTTTGCCTCAATTTTCTGTTTCGTTACGACATAAAAAAAAAACTAAAAGACCTGCTATTTTAATTTACAAGTTATCAACAAATTATTGAAAGATGAATACAGGAGGTGCGTAATATTAAAATAATCTGTATTTCCTATGTAAACAAATTACATTTGAAAACGTCACAATGATTAAACTATTCGTTTGTAATGCCGATTCTTTTCGGAAGACGGAGTAAGAAACTCTAGGGATTGTTCTTCGCAATTTTTAACTTTGTGAGATTTATACTTAGAATAATAACTATTTATACACATTTATTATTTACAACATTTATTTGAAATATCATAGATCGAGAGAACCAGCAACTGCGTAAATTTTATATAATGCTCGCAAATTTTTTTTAAAAAACGTGAATTGTCTTACAATGTAGTATTGCCTTGTGTAAACAAACACCAAACATTATTAATGCATTCAAGTGAATTGAAAAGCGAAGAGTTTTATGAATTTTCTCTGACATTCATGGCTCTGTATTTGACAAGTATTAGTAGTAATATTTTACGTCATACAGCCATTCCATTCTCTAAGGCCAATGGGCCTACGATAACCTTTTCAAAAACAATCTTATTTCAATGTAAGCTTAAAGTAAGCTTGTTATAATATTACTCATATTCGTACCATGACAAACTTGTCTACCAAGAAACGTATTATTGCTAAAATGACTGAAAGAATGATCTCCCAATATTGTCTATTCCTTACTAAAAATAGGAAAGAAATAACGCTATATGAAATGTATAATGCCATCTCTTTCTTTTTTGATGTTCCGAATCGTGTTATCGTAGTATAATGCTAAAGTACTTAA